TCAAACATAACTGTTCTTCCTCCAGTTAGAGGTCACCTCTTAAAAATAGAAACTTTTTAACCACCCTCATTTTTGGGTACTAAAGCCATTCAGTTGTAATAATCAATATGATACCACAGTAAAAAGAATGTAACAGATTGGGCTCTTCTCTCCTTTTGATGACAGTTTATTGACCTTTGCTTCTTGCTTTCTCAGCCATTATTCTGCAAATGTGACTTCACATAAGGCACGTGGGACTCCCAGCTGTGTCCTCAATATGCCAATGCTAATGCTAGCAGTCTCAGCTTCCTCACAACTGGCCCTATCAGCTCTAGTTAGAGGGGTCTGGCAGAAATTTCCTTCACAGCAGAGCCCTAGTCATAGTTGCATATCTCCTGCAGTGCAAACTTCCTAGCACAGCAGCCTCAGCTCACTTTCTGGCAGTTCTAAGCCTCCTTTGAAGCAGTGTCTGGCTTAGGCCAGTTGAGAACTCGGGGATTAAAGCTTTGTTTCCTGCCCAGTTTCTGCTACACTTAGGACATGTCTTCAGTGCTGAATTAGTCCTACTGATCTACACCCCAGTTAGCCTAGCCCTGGTGAGTAGCAACATTTCACAACAACCGAGTTCCTGCATCTTCACTGGGATCACACTCCTGTGCGTACATCACTAGGACTTCTGTGGTATCTCCCATGGGTTTGTGTGTTTTAGTAAAGCTGAGCCACTCTATAATTCTCTCCCAGTGAATTGTGGGAGAATTCTTTTCAGCCCCTCTGGGCATGGGGGACACATAATGATTTAGTTTACACTTCAGGGGCGGGCAATTATTTTGGGCGGAGGGCCACTTACCCTGTTTTGACAAGCTGTTGAGGGCCGCATGGGTAGCCCCACCCCTTGACAGGTACCCTGCCCCCTGGTCACCATCTTGGGACCAATGTCTCAGGGCCAGTGCTGGCGGGGCCCAGAGCAGGGTGCAGGCTGGCAGGGGTCTATGGAGTGATGCTAACCTGGGCCCCGTGCCAGCTCCATGCTTTCCTGTTGGGGTTGCTCTGCGGTGGGAGCAGCTGTGGCCCCCGCACTTGCTGCGCCAGGCAGTGTTTGCCACCGCCACCTGTGGGCTGCCCAGCGTGCAAGCTCTGGGCAGGCAGCAGCAGCAAATGCTGCCCGGCACAGAAAGCGGGGGCACTGCAGCTGCTGCTGCCATGTGTAGCCCCGATGGGTGAGCCCGGAGCTGGTGCGGGGCCCAGGCTGGCAGTGGGGGCGGGTTACAAGCTGGTGTGGAGTGTGTGGGGGAAAAGCGGCCCCTCACCCACCCTGTGGCTGGCACCCTGCACTGCAGCCTACATGGGGCTGCCTGTGCCTGCTCGGGACAGCCCCGCGCAGGCTGCGGGCAGCTGCGGCTGGGAGCACTGGCCACAGGGCAGGGAAGGGGCTGGTTTTCCCCAGGCTCCTTCCCTGCCTTTCTTCCCTCACCCCCTGCCTTACCTGAGCTTCCGGAGCCGGGACAACCATGTGGTCCCTGCTGGGGCTTCTGGCTGGGGGAGCGAGGCGGGGTGGGGCCTTGCTGTTGTGGGAGCCTGCTGGACTTCCCCTGGGTCCTGCTGCCCCTGGTTCCTGTCATTTATTACAGGTACCAAAGACAGAGAAATATTAATTTTCTAAATTTTTTAGGATCCCCATGGGCTGGATAGAATGGCCTCGCGGACCAGATCTGGCCCGGGGCTGTATTTTGCCCACCCCTGGTCTACATTCTTGCAGCTATGGGGATGGGTTATCCGCCTTAACAAAAGAAGTGCTGCCTCCAGCCAGATCAGCTTGTCTTGGATAAAAGTACCAGTAACATTGGGCGAGAAGGTTCTGCATTACATAAAACCAAGTTAGAACCAAGTAGCAGCCATGTCCAACTCTACAGTGAAGACATAACAGAGCACAGACTGTCTGTCCTCCTTCAGTTTACTGTTCCTCCTAGACTCCTTTAATCAGAAGTGTAAATCATAGGTATGGCTCTGGCAGAGCAGACAGCCCACGAAAAGAAAAGAATAGTCTCCCCATGAGAGGCCACATGTGGGACGTTCCCTGACAGACACCAGGGCAGACCACAAAGACCACTGGAGCCATTGCTCCCCAACCTGTGCGAGTCACTTCAAACTTACAGCAGCTAAAGGATCCCCAAAGACAAACTCTCACCTGCTACTGCACATTGTGCAAGTCACAGGAGAGGCTGCTTATTTGTTACATTACAAATGGTGCATAGAGGAACAGAGACTGGATTGTTAAGCAGCTTATCCTCCTGAATGGAAGAAACCCAACACGCAGTAAACCAGTTGCAAATGGAAGCAGCCAACACCTGTGTGCAGACTTCCCAGAGGAAACAAAATCACTCCCCACTCATGGGAGGCTGAGAAACAAGTCTTGCTTCCGAAGTGCCACAGGCCTCCTCTATACAAGCACTACTGGGGAAACATATTAAAAATCTATTGTCCCAAGATAAAGAATAAACTTGTTTTACACTAAACAAGACCCAATTCTAGTTTAAGAATCATGCTGAAGCATCAGAGGTTGTCTGTAGCACACTTAATGCACACAATTCAGTCCCTAAAAAGGGAAATTATGCTTGAACTTACTAATAGTTTTCTGACACTTACACACATGAACACAACACTGCATTTGTTCTGAAGCCAGAGCTTCTCATTATCCTACTGACTTTGGTCCTGATCTGGTGTAAGCATCTATTAACCCAGTATCCAAAGTTGCAGGGAACATTCAGGAAAACTTCTGCAGACATTATGCTGCCGGGGGCACAAGATACTTATTTTTCTCCTCCCTGTTTACTTGCTATTTATACAGACACTGGTGTCTGGAAACCACAAGCAGTTAGCTCTGCTGCACCAAGCAGGCACTGCTATAACCAAAGCAGAGAAAACAAGAATTGCTGTCTGAGATCAGAGCTGGCAGCCAGATCAGAGCTGCCAGCCATCACTGGTGGGATAAGGGCCAGCAGCAACATATGAGTGTCCAGGAAAGAAAGGAGCCAGCCAACATGTACAACTCTCAGCATGTCTAACTGTGAATGAGAGGAGGAAAGATTATTTCTTAATTAAGTTGGGGACCCACGCTAATAAAAAGTTTAAGAAACCCTGATATAGGGGAGCTTCAGGAAAAATCCGTCTGGAAATGTATTTAAAAGTAGCTCGCATTTTGCTTCAATTATTTGTGTGCACGTCTTAAGGGCCTGATTCCAATTCCATCAAATTTAAAACTGCAGCAACAAAAATGCCTACAAGACTTTGGAACAGGCCCACCGTGAAACTCTGAAGGAGACAGGCTTTATTTTTGGACTGGTAGTTCTCCCCACTGTACCAGTAGAAATTATTTTGCACAGTTTATATTTGTCTAGCTACATCTTCTGGCCCTAGCTCCCCCTTGCCCCAATATTAATGAAAGCAAATTAAGGGGTGGGGGGGAGATTCCAGAGGTAACTGGAGCCCTAAAGCCAAAATGAGAGTGCCAAACTGAACTGACAGTCAAGTATCTCACAGACATAAGATGCCTGAACCTGCTAAACCTCCCAAGCAATTTGTGTGCCTTCATACTGCATCAGTTGCGAGACACCAGCAATAACAAATAATTCTAAGTCAACCTATTTCTTTTCCTTCTCAGGGTAGATACATGGACTATCAAGCATTTTAGTGTGCAAGGATATTTTAAAGAAGACCTTAAAAACCAGAGGCTTTGTGGGGTGTGCATGGAGATTAAAGGATATGTTGCAGTGGCAAGTTTCCCTGTGTTAATGTTGTGCTGTGTTTGCTAGCTAAACATCAGCCTCCACCACTGCAGTGTCTGGTTCCTTAATCATAGAAAATTAGGGTTGGAAGGGACCTCACTATGTCATCTAGTCCAACCCCCTGCTCAAAGTAGGACCATCCCCATCTAGATCATCCCAGTCAAGACTTTTTGTCTACCCAGGTCTTCAAAACCTCCAAGGATGGAGATTCCACAACTTCTCTCGGTAACCTGTTCCAGTGCTTTACTACACTCCTAGTGAGAAAGTTTTTCCTAGTATCTAACCTTAAATTCCCTTGGTGCAACTTGAGCCCACTGTTCTTTGTCCTATTATCTGCCACTGCTGAGATCCATCCTCTTTGGAACCACCCTTCAGGTAGTTGAAGGCTGTTATTCAACTCAGTCTTCCTTCTCCAAACTGAATAAGCTCATAAATCATGTTCCCTAGCCCTCTAACCATTTTCATTGATCTTCACTGGACTCACTCCAAGTTATCCACATCCTTGCTATAGTGGGGGACCAAAACTGGACACAGATATGGCAGTGCTGACTAGAGGTGAAGAATCATGTCCCTTGATCTGCTGAAAACACTCCAACAAATGCAGTCCAGTACACCCTTAGCCTTCTTTGCAACAAGGTCACACTCTTGGCTCATGTTCAGCACTTCACAAGCTTCCATTGAATTAAACGTAACTGCATGCTTCAGCTGCCTTTGAGCTAGCTGGGGAGGAAAGATAATGGATTACTAATACTTATATTTAGGAGAAGGCCCCTTTAAGCTAGGAGAGCAGGAAAGAGGACCTTAAAGTACATGTAAAAACCTTTGCGTCACTGAGAATCAGGCCTGCAAAAGTAAGAAAGATAATCCCTGCTTAAGGGCATCAAACAGGAATTGTAAATACAAGATAGATATTTTCTCTAAAAGACAAGCTCTGGTTCAAATACAAAATTAATTTATGAAAGTCCCACAGCCACTATTACACAGAATATCAAGCCAGCGATCACAGTGGTCCTCTTCTGGTCTTGCAATTTCTGAAAGACCTCCTGGAGACCATCATAAAGAAGATGGGAGAAGAAAAATTGGACAATCCTTTGGAGAACCTCCAAAGTTAATTTTTAATGAAGGCATGTTATTCGCTGCATCTCCTCATTTGGAAGTCTAGGGGGGCTGTTACCTATTAACAATTTGTTAGAATGGCTTTCATCACCATGGCTTGCTGTGAAACCTCAAGGTGCTTACCTGCTCCACATGGGGCTTCTTGGCAAAGGAGATCCTGGCTATAGAGTGAGAAGCTATAGAAAGCTCCTGTCCATTCACCTCTCCTTCTTCCACCTCCACAAGACCTGGCATTAGAAGAAAAAATTATTAAATGTTACAATAACATATAAAGGGTAGCTTTGCTACAGTTATGTACTATGATTTTGTATGACTAAACACTACTATCCCCAGCAACAACCGCCACGTCAAATACCACAATTAATAAGTGGAATCCTGGACACACTGGCAAATTACTTGCACTAGGCTTGATAACCCAGGAGGCAGGCAAAGAACAAACAGAAGCCTTGCAGAAAAAATGTTGGACAGTTTTAGGTGCATTTTTTGCAGTCAATCAGATTTTCAAATCCTTTCAGTTTTAATAACTTCATCTCCACTCTGCTGCCTTCAAACTGTGTAAAAGGGCTGGTGTCATGTAAAGGTGCCCCAAGGCCCCTCTTTTCAGTCTTTAGAAGAAGCAGAAGACAACAATAAGGATGCCCTCCAAGGAACTTGCCCTAACCCTGGGTAATTAAGGAACATAACCAAATGGCATGTCAGGAACAGGACCATAATATGTAGCATGACAGAAATCCTAGGTAGTGCTGCAAGTTGTAGGGGAACTTAGGGAGGCTGCCATATGGATGTCTATGCCAAGAGTTATGCCAAGGTACCATAGCTACCCAGGATAGAAAGGGTGCAAAGGTGACCAAAAGCTACCCTGCCCCTATGTCCCTATGGTTATGAGCTCTGTGCTGCACCCTGGCCACTTTAATAAGGGGCATACTCTAGGAGTAGGAAATTGTGAACCACAGTGTACATCTACTTGTGCTTACAGCATGACCTATATAGATTTCAGGACAGATGCAGGTGTGAAATATTCACACAGGTCCAATAGCATTCTGTAACTTAGGTGAGTGCTGCCATTTCCTTCTTCCACAAGAGAATTCACAGAGAGTAGAACAAATTGGGAAGGCAACGGGCTGGTACCTGTATTCTGGGCACTGATGAAGGCCACCTTGTTAGTGTCAGGTTTGAGGCGGATAAATCCACATTCACGATGCATTGGCTTCCTGGTATCTGGATGAAAGGCATTGAACCTGTTGGGAAATTGGGATGCTAAAACTACCAAAGCTTTGTGATAAGGGTAGCAAATACACAGGGGGGGTCAGCCCAGCCTCATCTCAGAGACACTGGTACTTTGTTCAACCACAGTGTCATAAGTAGGGGTCTACCTTAATCGTAGTTAGACTTATATTAATAACAGTTTTTCATGGGTTGGTTGAGGCATAAAGAGCAAATTCAAGAAACGTTTTACAATGTGCATCAGCAGCCACACTCCTCAGTGCTGACTGATGGAGAGGCCCAGGGGTGGGGGCAGCTGCCATCTTGACTACTGGCTGCCCTTCACACAGCCCCTGCCCCTCACCGACAATTGATGGAGAGGCCTGGAATGAGACAAGGGGGCAGCAGCCATCTTTTCCGCTACCCTTCATGCTGCCCCACCAGCCACTACCTTCCCCTCCCGGGTGGACTGCAAGGCTGGGCCATAGTGGCTGTGAGGACCACTGGGGAGCCAGCACTTTATTTTTGGTTTTGATTTTGCAGATAATCCCAGATTTTGCGGTTTCTACAAAATCGCGATTTAAGTAGACCCCTAGTAATCAGCGTTGCTCACAGTTACACTACTGTAACTTTCAATTAAAGTAATATGAAAAAATATGCTCAAGCTCTAGAGGTAACCAGTGCACCATGCAGCAGTAGCTATCACTTCAGCACTGGCAGGTCCACACCTGTGAAGGACATTACATTTCATTCACTGCTAATAATGATAGCTGTATTTCATTTTTTATGCTCAGGCCTGGGATCTGCCACTCAGCCTCCAATACAACAAAACTGGTTGAGAGGAATCCTTGGACATCCAGTTCTTTCTCTGATTTTAGGGCCATGGTTTGCTGCATATCTTCCTCCTTAGGCCACTAAATCTCTGTTATTACAATAGTGCCTTTCTTTTCATTTGCAAGGCTGGCAGGCTGCCTCCTCCAAATACCAGCCTGCCATAGGCACTACAGATCAGACCATCACTGCTCTTAGCGCAAAAGTGCAAACCTGGCTGCTCATAGACATGCAAATCTCCATCAACTCAGGGACTTGTGTTTTGGACAATCCTACTCTGCAAATACAATAAATTGCTCTGGTATTGCACTACCAGGTTAGTGTGGGCACCTGATTATTAGGCATTCCCAGATTAGTGCAGCATTGTTTCCATTGCTCCTTTCTCTCTCATGAAGCTGGATGGAATTTCTGATCCCTCATCTCTTTGAATGAGAATTCAAGCCTTCCTCTGAGCTGCTGCTACTTCTACTCTGGGGACTCTCTATTCAGACAGCACTCTACAGACATACATCATCAGTAGTCCTTTCCCACAACTCTAACATGCACACTGACTAGCAACCTATTGAAATCCCCATCACAGTCTGCAATGGATCACAGAAATCTCCCCTCTTCTCAGAAGGGGCCTGTATCTGGACTCTGTATAGCACTCTGTGTAACTAGCAGAAATCCAGATGTTAAGTGTACAAGTACAGAATGGACCCAAGAACACGTCAGGGTCTGCCACGTGGCAGCAATGATTAATTAACAAAAAGCACTCCGAGCTAAGCATTCAAAGAATATATTTCATATGTGAAGTCAGGTGTAATTATGAAACATTGTTTTTACATGCATAAGAGACCTACCGCACAGAGTGCCCAATGAACAGACCATCAGTGTGCTCTTCAACAATCCAAGTACTTGGGAGAATTAGGAATAAAAAACCGTGAGAGGAGCTGGACACCCAATCATGGGAAGGTTTGTGTGCTTGCAGTTTACACTGCTCATTACTCTTTTTTTGTTTATGAATGCAGCAATGGCCCCTTTGGGGTTTGGCCTTGCCTAACCCCAGAAGGCATATAGCTTTAAGTGCTCTAGTATAATTAAAGTGGTAGAGCCCCTCTGGTATGAATGAGTTCTACTGGCATAATTATGCTTATAGCTTGTTCTCATACAGGAAATAATTATACTAATATGTGTATCTACACTATAATTGTACTGGTACAGATCACACGCCTAACTGACATAATGACGCTACTAAAGAATCTGTGTGCGCTTGGAATGCATGCATCATTTTTGCACAGTGTTGAGAGCCTACAACTATTCTTTCCTCCTGAATTCAGCACAATTTCTACCTTCAAAGAGTAGCGGGCTAACACCAAGCTGTTACTGAAAGTATTACCCAATGTGCTCCAAACTCTTGTTTATTCCCCACATGCAGTTTCTTAAACCTACATATCCAGAAGGGTTAATTAACATGGATAGCTCACTTAAATCTGTAGTGGGGTCTAAGCAAAACTAAGTGAAGCAGAACAGATGCTGTTCTAAGGAAACTCTTCTCTGGCTCAGTGGGAAGAAGACTGACACTCTTGGGCATTATGATAGTGCAAATTTGTGCGCCTCTAAATCCGTTACCTCCTGCCTAAGTTTAAGTGACTAAGAAGGTAAAGAACCAGGGATATTTAAGGTGCAAGTACTGTGTGGGCTGCATGGAAAGAGCCTCGGTCTCTCTCAGAACCACTTTCACTCCCAACCTTCCAATTCCTCCACTGCTGGGCTCTCAAAACTTTTCACCCTGGGGCCCATAAGGAAGGACTCTGTTGATTTGTTGTAGATTGCAGAAGACAGGTCACTACCATATGCAATACTCAGAGGCATGGCTGAGTGCTTAATCCTGCCTACACATCTGTGTTCCTATTTAAATGTACCATAACTGTTCATTGTTCAACTGCAAGGAAGTACAACTGCATGTTTTATCAGGTGAACAGCTGCTGATGATTAGGTGCGTCATCCAGGCATATGGAGTCTGGGCTGTTCAGCATTTCTGAAAAAATCAGGCGACTTTGAGCCCATCAAATACTCTCATCTGATGGGTGAATAATTTTCATGTTACTTTCTAATGCGCAGCTGGCAAACCCATTAGGAATTGGGCACACTCCAATCCCAAGGCTACTGCTAAGACAATCAGTTCTAGACTTACGAGAAGTTTAGCATCGGCTGCCCAACATGGGAGATGTGCACCTCTTCCAGGTACTGAAATGGCTTCATTGTAGGGAAGGTGCCATCTCCTGGAGGGTCTGAAAGCCAGGTGCCCAGCATCCAAGAGAGGGGCTCAATCACAGGATTCAGTTGGGGGGTCTCTGTGAAGGAGAAGGAAAGAATCAGAAAACTTGGGATTCACAGATTTACTTGTCTTCTTTGTTAGCTGTGTACAGTAAAGGTCAGCCCCAAAAAGCCTCTCTGCTATTTACTGTGTGCTATCATTACTCCTTGACCCGATCAATGGTACCTACAAAGTATGAACTAAACCGAGGAACAAAGGATAAGGCTGTGGAGAATGAATCTGCCTCTTAGCTTTGCAATTAAGATGACACTTAATTGCACCCAGCACCTATGGAAGTGACCAGCCTCAAGCTCCTCCCATCAATACAGATTGGGAATATCATGAACAGAACACTGAAAATTCAGGGCCTGAAGGTAGGGACTAAAATATTGTTACCCATCTAATTATATGATTTTTCAGAAGAGCTAAGCATCTGCAGGTTCCTCTTGGCTTGGTATATAGTGTAGCCGATTCAGTGCTTCTAAAAAAAGAAATCAGATCAAATTTAGGAACCCAACTTCTGGCACTCAAGATTCAAAAGCCTAGCCTTGCTCTCTAGTAAGGGCTAAGAAGTAGGAGCCGTGCTATTAAGGATCCTTCTGACAACCAGTTTAAATGTAGCTTCACAAGAAAGCACGAGTGACAGCCCTTTCCACCATGACTGATGCTACCTTGTTGGAGGGGATGTGAACATAACAGGTGGAAAGGAAACTGAAGGATTTCTGAGATCAAAAGGACTGGATACACTCTTCTGCATTACTTGAAACAGTGATGACCTCATCCTCTTGCCAACCAAGTTCCAGCTTCAGTACAAAGCAGGGGACTGCAGGCCAGAATATTTTACAGGTCATGTTCCTACTGAAAAGATTATAAGAATGGTGAACCTAAAATAGAGATAACTACTGTTTACACTGACCCAGAATTTCCCTATTCAATATCTCACCAATGTGCTCCCAAGGGAAGCCACAGAGGCATTAGAGAATCCAGCAGAGAAGGACTCATGCAGAAACCCCTAAACAGGCCTACCTGGCAAACACTACTGTGCTCCAAGCCAAAGAGAGCATGACTCTAATCCATGCTCAGATACAAAATAGCAACATACCAGCAGAGCCTGCAGCTGGTGTTGGAAGAGGTCAACAAGGTTGCCATTTCCCTCCTCTCTGCTGAACACTTAGAGCCAGCTGCTCTCCCATTGCTAGAAATGGAGGCAGGGCTTCCATGAAAGCTACTCTGCTTAGGCTTTTGGCTGGGTATAATCCACTAAAAAGACTCTGATGCTTGAAGGTTAAAGAAAAACTGGAACAGAGAGGTGCACTGGTCCCATTGTTGCATTAATAGAATCAAAAGAAATCTGTCTCCTAAAGGTATTTTGTTTAATGAGTCACTGGAAGAGGGATGACTTTGATAAGCAGCATTTCAGCACTTTTTGTGCAACGTGATTTAATAGGGTGTGTGCCATTAGAAAAAAACCCAAGGAAATCGAGACAGACTGACAATTGAGAACCCATCTGAACAGCAAAGCATTTCCATGCTTCTGAAGCAAACAAGGAAAGGCTTACACCACCCACATTACATCAGAGAAGCCCTGCACACACAGACATGGGTGTGGCCCCTAAGACTAGGCTGGAAATATTAAGCATTGTGAAGATGGACATCAAGATCCAAGAATCACTCTGTTCCCCTCCTGAACACCAGCTCATGGACTCACACTCTCAGGCCAGTGGAGAGGAGTTTACATACTTAAGGCTATTATATAGCAACCAGCAGGAATGCAGCACAGGTTTGACTTGTCTGGGAGGCAGAGATTAAATTATTAGAGAACAAATGACCTAAAAAGGTGATGTTGTGGAGGAAAACTTGCTGGGTCAGTGTGAGATTCACTGTGGCTCAGGCCCAAATTGCTGGTTAAAAAGAGTGTAACACAGAAAAGGATGGAGGCCCCATGTTTGGACCGACAGAGTTAAAAAGAAGAGAACAAAAAGTTCCTCCTTTAACAGAGTTTTCATTTCTGTCATTTATGGAGTCTCTCTTTCCCCAAACATGGAAAGTTTAAAAACCCCAGAACGGCTGCTCACGTGAGACTGATTACATCCCGTTCCCCTGAAGTGCATTTTAGACAGAACAAAGGGATAAAGGCATCAAATCCTGCAGTGAAATTGATAAGATTTCTTGTAGCAATATCAAATATTTTGCACGTCTGGTTGCACACTGACCAGGTAACAGAACTGTCCGAAGTGGGGGGTAGAAGGGGTTTGGTAAAAGCTGGGGAGCCACAACTTAATATTTTACACATTTATGCACTAGCTTTGGTGTTACACCAGGAACAGCATTTGCAGGGTCTCCACATTACTTACCAAGGCTGTAAAAGGGCCTTACATATTTTCACAGTCAGGTACTATAGTGATCGTTACTATGGCAAACCCCAAGATATGCTGCTGCAGGACAGCTGCCTAAGGGAACTTTTTCCTCCCACCTTTTCCCTGACAGCCTGCAAATTAGCAAGTCAGAAAGTGCTGCTCTCCTGCCAACTATGTTCCCATACTCTGCTTGCTGGAAGTGGCAGTTGCACTACAACCCCAACCCCATCCCACCCTGCCCACTGCCTTAGAAGCTTAGGAAAAAGCCCTGCTGCCGACAAGCAGCAACGTTTTGGAAATCTGCCGTTGAGTCTGCAGCCTGGACTACTGCTGCCCCCTAGCAGAAAATGCTACCAGAGCTACATTTTTGTGACAAACTAAGAACCCAGAACACACTTCAACCTCCCTCACTGAGCAGAGGGGCTTGCGACAGTGCAAGTCCATTCTTTTGCTCACCATGTCTCCAACATAGCACCCACTCCTGAACCAACAGTGGGATTCACTCTCCATGTATGTTCAGCCACTCCTGCCCTAGTCCACACTGTTCTTCCACTACACGTCTCATTTTCTTCCACACCAGTTTCCTTCCACTCGCCTACGTCCTGTCCCCAAACCTGGTGCCCTGCTCTGTGCCCACCAGCTCCACAGCATGAACACAAGCCCCAAGAGCACTCCTGGTTGACAGGCCATGCCAAGCTCTCCTGATTTCCATGCCTGCTATATCACCAGACTGCACCTCACCCCCACACAAACAGCTAAGCTGTCTCCTGATTGTTCTAATTCGCAGACAGGCTTTGGCGCTAAATCCCCTCATGCACCATGCAGAGTCAAGCACTGGCTGGATGCCTTTGCTTTGCAAACAGAGATGTTTCAGTGCCTCTGTCCCTGCCTCATATGGAAATAACATAGTTACATGATCCCTCAGGCAGCAGTAATGCCATAACATAGCTTTGCCCATCACAGACGTAAAGGATGCCTATACATGAGCGCGGAGGCTGCTCCGATGTGCTGGAATTCCAGCGTGTTGAAGCAGTCTATTAATTGAGTCTGCTGGAGCATGGCAATTTCCATGCTCCAGCAGCCTTCTGTGTCTCATGTATCAGCATCCCCATGCTTAAAAACGGTGGTGGGGGCATTTGAACTAAAACTCATCAAGTGAGCTTTAGTTTGAGCGGCCCCCACCACCATTATTAAGCGCAGGGATGCCAATACATGAGCCATGGCAGCGCTTTAATTACAGATGCTCTCAGCTACTCTAATTAAAGTGCCACATGTCAAAGTGCCCAAAGGGGTGTGGTCCCAAAATACAGCTGTGCTGGCAAAAACCTGGATGGTCCATGCTGCTGTACCAACCAAACCACATCATAAGCAGCTGCTTACCTGTGTCCAAGGCAAACTGTCTATTAGCCTAGGTTGTAAAGGACCCACTGCCATGCCAACAAATTCTCTCTGGGCAACTTAATTCTTTAACAGGGAAATTATCAAGAGTAGTTCCTCTACCTGCTTGAAGATGCTGCTCCTAAAGGCTCCTTCCTTTCAGTCCCCCGTTTCAGAGCCTCCTGCTGGTGCCTACCTCCCTTTCTCAGTCGTCTCTTCAGCTAAGCAACCTGTAACTTTCCTAGCAAGCTCTGATAATTGAACAGAGTTGGCAGGTTCCAAGACCTTATAAATGCGCTCTTACCAGTGTTGCTCATTTTGTTCACAAAATGCAGCATACTGTGCTGTGTGCTAAGCTTTGCTGAGGTACCTGTATCCACACTAAGTGTACTTTGTGCATTACAGTATGCTGCTATTCTTCCCTAGTGTGGACATGGCCCAAATCATTCTGGCCGGTTTCCACTGTTCTCTGACAAGCCGCTCCCCCTTCTGTCTCTCTGATGTTATTTTACATAACAAACGCCATCCTTTTTAAACATGCATATGCTCTCTCCTAGGACTGTATTTTAATAATGATGATCTCATAACCAGGGCCCAGTGCGCTCCACAGCATGCAGTAGTGTGAGCCCTGATCTCTGCAGCCTGCTCTCAGAAACTCTCCAGCCACATAGACCACAGAGAAAACATTGTTTAAAATATTCAAATACCATGGAAAGTCCCAACCTCCTAAGAAAAATCTGCTTTTTTAGAAGATACAGATTGTCTTTCAGGTCCTCATAGTAAACATTTGTAATTGCTTTCTAGCTGCATAATTCAGGAGTTTTGCTGTAGTTACTTTTCCTTCATTAATAAGCAGAATAAGCAGCAGCCTCTTTTCTCCCCCTATCTTTTCCCCGTGGAAAATGGGGGTCTTTATCACGTCAACAAGCCTTTAAGATGTGATTTCTTGGGGTGGGATTTTTTGCAGAAACACTTTCAATTAATTGGCTATTCTGAGGAAAGATGCAAGAAAAAAACTAGCTAGCTCAGACAGCGGAAGAATGACAAGATTCTCCAGTCAAAGAAAATTGCTGATATTGAATTATGCATGTGCAGTTTCCAAAAATAATGATACCTTGCTTGTTCCATCAGCAGATCTCAAATTGAACAAAGGAGTTCAGCATCACCCTCCCCATTTCAAGGCAGAGAAACGGAAGCACAGTCAAGAAGGGACTTACCCAGGGTTGCTCATCAGGACAGTGAATACTTCACAGATCCAGAACTGCCACTGGACACACAGTCACCTTCTGTAAACACCTCCTTA